AGAGTTCTACTTGTTCTTGACAGTCTTTATAATTTTAGCTATTCTTATGTGCATGGTATCTCATTGTGGTTTTAATTTGCATTTCCCTGATGACCAGGAGTTGGTAAACAATGACCTACAGGCCAAATCCAGCCCACTGCCTATTTTTATACATATAGTTTTATTGGGACACAGCCATGTCCACTTGTTTGCATGATGTCTATAGCTGCTTTCGTGCTACAATGGCAGAGTTGAATGGTTGCGGTAGAGAACATCTGTCCTGCCAAGCCTAAAATATTTATAGTCTGACCCTTTACAGAAAACATCTGACAACCCCTACCTATGATGTTGAACATCTTTTCATGTGCTTCTTGGCTATCATGTATCTCCTTTAGTGAGGAATCTATTCAAAACTTTTGCCCTTTTTCTTAAGTTTTTTTCCTTCTTATTGAATAGAAAGAATTATTTTGTATATTCTGAATACAAGTCCTTTAATAGGTATATGCCATATCTCAATTGATGGGAATTTATTTCATTATTTTGATATCTTAGAAAATCTGATTTTGTATAGCAAAATAAATGGCTGAGCAAGTATAGAGGTTGGCACTGTAAGTGGAAAGTGCGCAAAAAAAAAGAGGAACATGTTTTAGGTAAGAAGAGGATTATGCTTTTAATCCTGAAACAATGTCATTATTTTATTGATATCAGTATCATAACTATTCTTTTACTTAGTATCTTATAGAAATTAATACCATACCTGGTATGGTTTAAGCCCAAAGTTGCTATTTAAAATATTTCTAATTTCTTCATTAGTGTTTTTAAAAATTGAAAGCATATAAGCTAATTATTGTTGCTACACTAATAAGTAGCCTTTATTTTTAGAAGAGAGCTTTAATATCTTGCAATTTCTCCCAGGAAGTACTTTTAACATCTGGACCAACTTGATATCAACAATTTAGGCTACATTCTGAAATATTTTGTAAAGTGTAAGATAACCTTATGAGAGATTAGAAATGAAAGAATTCCTCCTACGGAATGGATTGTAGGGGTGATTCCTTTCTCACAGGTCCACAGAGATGTCCATAATAGCTTATCTGGTCTAAGTGCCATGTATTCAAACTATGTTTCTTTGCAGAGTTTGAATAAAACTGACCACAGCCACTCAGAATTTTGAAGTCAAAATTAAATGTCTGCCCAGCAGTTGTGCCCATAGCAACAGTAGCAACCTACTTTTTCTGGTTGATCTAGAGAGTTCTTTGAACCTACAGTGTTCTAACTTTTGTGTGATTTTCTAGTCTCACCACTTTGCCACTGTTTTTAATGCTGAAGGGCAAGTATTTACTTTTAAAAATTAAAAGTTAAAAGTAAATTAGTTCAATTTTGTTTTGAAAGATTTTTTTTTTTAGAATTTCACAACACCCTTTGTAATATTTAGATATGCCTTAAGGTGTTGCAATCAGAGGATTAGAAACCACTGTCATAGATCCAAGATTCTACTTTGCCAATATGCAATCTTTTTTTCTAAGGCCTACTGGTGTGGTTTCCCCAAAACGTTCACATTCATTTTTTATTTTCTTTCACTCTTGTTGACATAGGCTTTGTTTCTCATATAAGATACAATAAAGCCTATTCTTCCAGTACCCTTATTTCTCTATACTCCTGGGGTTTCCTGGGTGATATATATACCATTTTACTTAAAGAAGTCATACTAGTTAAGGTTGTGTCATGTTGTATAATATTATTTTTTATTATCTCCGTCTTAAGTCACTCACCAGAGATCTTCATACTAACTGCTGAAAGATAACTATCATTACATGACTAGTGTTCAAACCATTATAAGAATTACTCACTGAAAATAAATTTATTAATCAAAGATTAAAAATTAATGTAGCGTGCATATAGATATATCCCCAAAATATTGGAGAAATAAGAATATAAAATGTCACTGAATATTCATCCAAATATTCATTTAAAGGAAAGTTGACAAATTTATTTAGACTGAAGGGGAAAAATTTGCTTAAACTTTTTGCTGACTACTGAAAGTATCAGTGGAGTAATAACTGGATGAGTGAAGGGATGTAGAGAAGGCAAAACACAGGTAGAGGGAATCCACACCAGGTAGACGACCTGAGCAAAGATGAAGGGCCAGGGCCTCACATGTATTGCAAAATTTCAGATTATACTGGCCAAAACCAAAGGAGATGTGTTGAAAAATAAGAGAAGAAGTGATGCATGGTAAAATAATGAAGAGATTTGTGTTACTAGCACTACATAAAGAATGGGGATGATGGTCTTAACATATTAAGTTTTTGATGCTGTATTAAGGTGAGATTTGTCCATGTGTATTTTTTTTTTTCAGAACATTTTAAGTTAGCTCTAGAGAGTAGTATGAACTGGAATTTTAGGGAAAGTAGGACAGCTAAATGCTAATACATTTGAAAAGTTATATGATGTTGATGTATTTGTTGACATAAATTGTTTCCCAAAAAAGAGAAAGACTGAAGTCATGAAAAGTTCTATGCATAAGAGGTGAGATCACTTCTACTTCAGTTGGTTAATAGCTCTTTTCACAGCCTTCCTTTTTCTCAAAAAAGCTGCCCTTTCCATTTTCCCAGGGGAGAAATAATGTGGTACGTCAGACCAGAGTCCATGAGCGAAGGTCTAACGTGATGATGATGATGTGACTCTTGGCTCTTGGTCAAATATGAGTGCAGCCTAAGCACACCAAGATTTCTTAAACTCTTCTTACCAACTAAGTCTTGGAAACAGGCTGGCTGTGTTTTGATACATTTGTGAGACCTGATAACCTCCTAAAGTAGCAGAGAATGTGCTTGACTTACATTTGTTCCATTGTATTGAGAAGGGTGGAGTAAATTTAGAGTAAATCTAGGCACATTATTAAAAAGGGAAAACATTGGCTTAGAAACAAATCTGTGTTTTATATGAAGTATAAATCACCTTATCAAAACCTGGAAAAGTTAGCACAAAGTATCAGTGGTTGGCATCAACTCGAGCATTCTGGTCTGTGGCTTAGCCACTACTAACTCTGTCGGGTAATTGAGTTCTCAATGAAAAGAGAGCAGGGAAGTCAAGATCCAGTTTTGACCCTACATTTAACATACAGGATGATTTAATGTACAGGGTACCTCAATTTCTTCATTTGGAGGAATTGTTTTAGATGAGCCATAAGATCCTTTTCTCAGACATTATATTATGTAAGCCACCCAATATCTTTGAGTTTCAGTTTTTCCACAGGTGTAAGTATGGTAATATGAGATTCAAGAAGTTTATAAAAATTTCATCAAGTTCTTGGAAAATACAAATTACTTTGCACATACATGAAAACTATAGTCCTAGCTGTTGAGGTATGAATAATTCCCACAACCTAGTATCCAAGAAAGGTTATTTTCTTTTTCCAAAGGCCTAATTGAATTTTTTATGTAGCTATATTGAGGCTGTCCAGGCTGAATTTTGCTGGAGTATAATAAATTCAGTGTGATGGTCTTGGGGAACCCCTGCTGTATAGATGTGATGATTGGTATTTATACAATATAAGTTTTTGATTAACAAGAAATAGAATGTGAATTATTAAGTTGGTAGATGAAGGCTTGTCAATAGGCAAAATACCTTAAATACATTAAATCTTTGGGAATAAAAAAAGAAAATAATTCAGATTCACAATCTTTTATCTAAAATCCTTGAGGCCTGACACATTTTGGAATTCAGAAATTTGGAATTCAGGGGGCAGTTAGAAAAGATTAGGATGTTTAGAACACATATTACACAACTTCTTCAGTGGGGTCCTGATCAGCACCATTGAACTGAACACCTTTCTTCAAAGAAACATGTGATAGTCACACTAGTGGGATTAAAGAAAGACTAAGTAGCCTCATGATGGTTCTTACTGCGGTTTGTTACCAGATGAGTTTGAGATGAACTTACAAAAAAAAATACAAAGTTATTTAGATTTTTGAATCATGGCTGAAGGATTGTAGACTTGTATTAGTAAGCCCTTACTCCATGCCAGCTTTAAGGTTGTGCTATTTACACTAACTAATCTTTGTAAACAACCCAGCTAGAAGGCAGATGTTATTCACCATTTATAAACCAAGAAGCTAAGGCTCAAGCATGTTCAGTAAGTTGCCAGGGACCACAATGACAAATAAGTCACAGCGATGGGGTTCGAACCAGGTTCCTTCTGGCTCCAAAGACAAGACGAAATGTGTTTCCTCACTGCTTGGTCAAGATGTTTGTTTAGTATGATTATTTGCCCTGTTGCCTTGGCAGTTAAAAAGTCTTGAGAACTTGAGTAGGGGCTCTGTTTTCAGCCTCCAGTCTCTCTGGGAAAGTTCATCCAGTCATTACTTACAAGCTAATGACACCTGGATGGATCTGCACTCCAGTCCTGAGTACGACACTTAGATCATTCAACTCACTGTAGGGCGTCTCCGTGGAGTTGTCTCACTGACCCAGCAGCTCCCAGTGGAACTTACCATCTTTCTCCTCAACCCTTCTCTGCCTTCCAGCACTCCCTGTTCTACCATCTCAGTTACCCCTAAGCCAGAAACCTTCTCTTCCCTCCCCTCTGACCCTATCCAATAGCAGCACAGAAGAGGCTCAGGGGTTTCAAGTGGTAATAATTCAATTTTACCAATCAGAAAATCCAGGTCCTTTCACTATACCCAGACAAGGTGTATAAAGCGAAGGTTCTGACCAACTGTGTATAGCCAAAATAGCCCAAATTCCACCTACCTGCCTGATAATAAACTACCGAATATTGAACCCCTAAGATTTTACTTTTTATTCCAGGCTTCTTTGTGTAATTAAGTGCATTTTCTTTGCTGTCAAATAAAATGACTACATTTTAGGCATTTGGATGTGCATGCCGTGACACTGAGTGACAGAGTTGATAATATTTCTTCGGACAATGATGACTCTAGCAACTAATCCTTGCTGGGAATTTGCATAGGATACTAAAGAGGAGAAATAACGGCCATGTATTTTTTTGTTCCCTTTGCTAGGTAAAAGGCCAAGCCTAAAAGTCCATGTTAATACCACAAGTGACTCCATCCTCTTGAAGTTCCTGCGTCCAAGTCCAAACGTAAAGCTTGAAGGTTTTCTTCTGGGATACGGCAGCAACACATCACCAAACCAGTACTTCCCTCTTCCTGCAGAAGGGAAATACACAGAGGCTGTAGTTGGTAAGGTGTTTGGGTATCAGGCATGGAAAGAAGGGAAGTGAGAGGTAATGGGTGTAACATGACGTACAAATCTAGATGGCAACAACCATTTCTTTTACATCCTTAGCTGAACTGAATGCTAGAATTACAAATCCTCTTCATGATTGTTGCAACCTATAACACAATTATTTCCATTAAAAAAATTTATTGCATGCAGAAATAGTCATCTTTGCTGTCATTGAAGTTACAATCCCTGACCACATAACTTAAAAATGCGTAAGGAAAAAAATTAGCTGGAATGCCTGGACTTAAACCTCTGTAACATAATTTTCTTACGTGGACAAATTTTCCTTCCTGCTGTGTCTTTATGCCCTTCTGGTAGACGGTAAAAACTAGAGTGTTTTGGGATCTTTTCATGAGAAGCTCCCTTTAAATTTTTAAAATATATAATACACTTTCTTTTCTCTTTAGAGTATTTCAGACAAAAAGATTGAAGTTTTTCTATGCATTATTATAAAATTTTATATTTCTTTGGAAATGTTTTTATCATATTAAAATGTAATTTGAGGACACAAGTCACCTTCAAGTCTTCTCCAGAAAAAATCATTTACAAATAAAACCCTTTCAGAGAATAGCATTTTAAAAAGGGGAGGGATCCTCTATTGTGAGTGCTTTCAAAGGCTTTCTGAATAGTCTAGATGGTATTTATGTTTTGTTCCACTGATGGGATTATTGCTAAGAGCCTTTCTATGAACTTCAGAAGTTTAAGTCTGTAAATTCAACCTCTTTATGTCAGTTATGGTGTTTGTACCTACATGCAGGGAATGTTGAAGATGAATCTATTTTGTCCTGCAGCTTTTTGTTTCTCAGAGAAGTCTCTATTGGACTTTAAAATCGGGCAAGAGAGTAATACTGTTAATTAAATGTCTTGACTAGATTTTACATAAGACAATCACTTTTAAAGCAAACTTCCTTGTTTGTTACCAAAAAATTGAGAATTACGCACTTTCAACAAATGTAATTAACATTAACCTTGACCACATAAGTCATAAAGAATTTGACATTTTCTCTGTTATGTTCACCCTTTAATATAAAAAGTGACTGGAAGCTGTATGCTTACCTCCACACAAAGAGGAACATATCTACTGTCCCTTTCTTCATTGAGCATTAGAAGTAATATTTTATTGATGATACATTTTTTGGTTATATAAATTGAGAATTTCGTCAGTTGTAAATTTTTTTCCATATAAAAAGAAAAGCATTCAATCTTTTTTTTTTTTTTTATTTCAGCATATTATAGGGGTATAGATGTTTAGGTTA